TTCAATGTTGACCTACATGGGAGGGAACCACATTTGCATCCAGAGACCTCCATAAGTCCTCCTCATACATACTTTCCCATCATGGGGGTAGGCTACCAGTAGGAATAGATTGTGGCATTGGGACCTTGTTAGGGGTGCTCTGTCTATCTCTTTCTGTCTCTCTCATTTATAGAATAAATAAATAAATTTCAAACAAATATAGCATTTCCTGTGTCATGGTGTTATAATCTACTACTTGACAAACGTTTGCTATAAAGGACAAGATAGTAAATATTTTAGTCTTCGTAGACCATAAGGTCTATTCAAATATGCCATTATACCATGAAAGTAGCCACAGAAAAATATATGATGGAATGAACATGACTGCTCCAAAAAAACTTTAGAAGCTTTGTAAAAATTGGACAGCAGCCCTCTTGGCTTACAGGCTGTAGTTAATGACCTCTGTTAAAATCCCCAATTACAGTCCATCTACCATCCTAGCAAAGAGGCAAGCAAAGTACTTGCTGTCTTATGCTAGTAAAAAACCATTAATTAATTAATCATTCATATTACAACACTTGTATTAGATATTTAGGGCACAATACTGCATAAAACATGGAAATTGACAAAATTATACATAATTACAACTCTGAAACACATGTTGTTCTCTCAACAGAAATTGAAATAATCTACTAAAACACATTTTAAAAATCTAAAAATGGAAAGCTTTTTTCTCCCTGCACTCGTTCAAAAATAGGATATATAATTAATAGATTTTTGAGTCCAGAAAATAAATGAAGCCAAGTGCCCGTGACCTTTGGTTTCTACATTCTCAATCTTGAAATAAATTGATCTGTTCTGGTGAGTGTGAACGTGTATTACCTCAGACTAGAGGTGATGATTCAATAACAAGCTGATCTTTGCTGAGACAAGACTTTGCACTAGTGAATAGGAAATCATAGCACACAGATTATCATATGTTCTTTATAGAGCTGAGTTTTATTTTCCTATAAGCTGTGGAAATATTTGGTGACACATGGCAAACTATTCACATAAGAAACCCCCTCTCCCTAGTGAACTTATCATTCACTGAGAGCTTCATGTTTGCAATACAAATTGTAGAAATCTCACACAATGTGACATTGTGATTGATTGATTAATTCCTTTCTAGGAAGCCTTGTGTAACCTCCACAATAGGACTCCACCTCTTTTAAAATCAAGCTCATGGTGCAAAGTACTCATTTGATCTTATGTACTGTCTGATCTCATTACTCCTTATTTTCAAATATATGTCTTATTTTTTCTGGTTATATTGTAGTATTTGGAGTGTGAAATATGTGAGTCTAAACCTCAGTTTTACTTATTAGCTTTGTGATAGTTGCCAAACTATTTATCTTCTCTAAATCAGGTTTAGAGCAGCATCTGTTTCACAGGTGTTTCTGTTGGCTCACATTTAGTAACCAGCATAACCGTTGTCACTACCATCGTTCTCATTAGTATTTTTATACCTGCTCCTTTATGAAGCTTTCCTTAACTGCTCAACCACGATTCATGGTTCACCATCCCAGAACTTGCAAATTGTTTATCATTTTTCATGCTGCATTTTAATTATCTGTTTGCACGTCTGTTTTGCTTATTATATTGGGGTTCCATAATGCCCTCCTTAAGGAAACTTTCAAATAGATATTAATTGAATACTTTTCCAAAGATTAATAAAATTACTCTTTGCTTACTTTCAAAGATTTTGTTCTTCATACATAGTTCACAGGAACATGAGCAAGGAAGGCAAATGTGAATTTAGAGCATCTTTCTAAGTCAATGCAAAATACTCTGTCTAGAATCCTCTATCAGGAATCAAAGTTTCAGTTTGCATTAGTTTGAGTTTTCTTAAAGTTCTAGAAAAACAAGCAAAACAGTAAATTTTCTTTTTTAAAAAGGAAAAATAAGAAGTATTAGTGGAAAGATATCCAGAGCATTTAAAAGAATGCATGATAAGTTGCTGGTGCTCTTTTGGATGTTTGGAAGATTGGACTATGACTAGGTCTGCCTGTTTACTGATTCCTTGTAATCATTGGTAGATATCAGATGATTTTTATAATGTAGGGAAGAGATATTGGTCTATCTCTAGAGTACAGTTCCTTAGCCCCTAGTCCAATCCCTCTTCTGTAACTGTACATAAATAAATAAATAAATGATTCTTTGCAGGGTGTGTAGGGCCAGGTTGTTTTATTTTCTTAATTGTAGCTTTGTAGCTCCTGACACCAATTCTTCCAGGCATCTACCCACTCAGGATGATATAGAATTCAATTCTTATCTCAGAGAATCTTCTTTTTTTCCTCATGGTCATCATTCACACTATTCCTGCCATCTTGCATGAGTTGGGCCACTTGACAAGTCCCATAAGAGCTGTTTTCATCCTTATCTACCCCAACCTCTCTTTTAATCCTTGCTATGGGACACTGCATAATTGCTCATCCAAATACTGGTTTCTACATGATCACAGCCTGATGAAGACCTTTGGTGACTTTCTGCTGTATTTTTCTATATCAGATGTGGTGTGATCATCACTGTAAAAGGAATTCCTAAACTTCAGGCTACTCAACAGAACAGAAGTACTGGCTCATGCAGTATCCAATGTGGATATTCCTTGTTAAGTGTCCCTCAGGTGACTCTCCATCAAGTGGTAGTGTAAGGACACACATTTCTTGAATCCTTTGCTTCCACCATCTAGCTCTTCAGAATCTTTTTCTATTATCCAAGAGAAGGAGTTAAACAAAATGCAACAGGCTGTAGAAAAGATTTGTATAGAGCAGGTTTGCAAGTGACATACAATAACTATCATGGGCTGAAACTCAGTCAGAACACCCCCACCTAGCTGCAAAGGAGGCTGAGAAATGTAGTCTACCTATCTGCCTAAAATGAAGAGAAGACAAGGTTGGATGAACACGTAAAAATTGTTGCCATCCAGATGAAACATAAACACTGCAACCAGACATGAAGACCTTCACTTTTTATTAAGAGTACCTTACATGCGGTAATATAAAAGAGCTTACAAAGTTCTACCTCATATACTGCCTTTCCTAGTCTTCTCAGTAGATCTGATATGCTTGCATTGTTATCCCCAAAGTCCAGAGCCTGAATAAATTGCCCAAGTTATGCAACTAGAAAGTATACAACAGAGTCAGACTCTAGGGACATTCGTGCTGATGGTTGATAGTTACATTGTACTGGAGCCAAAATTGCTATGTTGACTAACTTTACATATATGTCTTAATATCAGGCATCAACATCTGTCTCAAGTATTTACAGTACTTCTATGAGGTCTCAGGTACAGGCACTGTCATAGGCACTGAGACAGCAGGCCAGACACAGTTGAGCTCTCAGAGACCTTACAGTTTCTTCCAGTATTTTCCAGTACAGTTGCATAAAGTTTTCTCATTATACTTAATCCCAAATTTATATAACATGATAGTCTTTGCTCTCTCATACTTACGAACTTTAATTCTCTACTACCCATATCCACTAATTTAGTCTTTATCTTCAAATCTAGGTCAAGTATCAATCTTTTTTCCTAAGTTTATTTGTTCATTTCTTCTAAGAGAGAGACAGAATTAGACTCCCAACAGGATCTTCATACTATGACTCACCTGAACTTGCAGCCAACCTGTATCATGAGTATGGACGTGTCCAGGGCACATAGAGAGATCTCTGGACACAAACCCAGGACCTTCTTATGTAGGTCCCACATGGCAGAATGCTGCGTTACCACTGCACCATCAATTCAGTCCCAAGCACCAGCCTTATTTTCTCCCCAAAGACCTAGTGATTAGGCCATGCTCTGTTATCTTTTTTCTCTGACCATAAACTAGAGTCTGTCACCCACAGTAAAACATGATGATGCTATACCTTATATTATTTGCTTTTTTTTCATATATTCTTTCATCACTGAACCTCATTCAATCAACCTCTCCTCACAATTACTTTCACTTATTTATGCCCTGTGATTGCTATTGAGGGTAGACATATAACAGTCATATGAAGACCACCAGTACATTTGTTGTAAAGCTGTAGATGAAAATGTTAAATTGTTCAGTGTTCCTTTTGTAAGGTCAATTGTGATACATTATTTTGAGAGTGAATTATCTGAGAAAATGTTACTGTTCTTTAAAAACTGAACGTTTTCTTCCTGGTATAATAAATATTACCTAATTACAATTTATTTTGCCCTAGATTCTCCAGAATATGAGGGGTAATCCTTCCTATTTAGTATGTTTGCTTTTGCTTTTTCAGAGCTGTGATTCTTGAAAAACAACTCGGTGACATATATATTAACATCTTTCAATTTATATGTTGGTTAGGTTCCTGGAAAGTGGCAAGTGATTCAAAAACACTTAAATCAAACAGAAACTTTGCATAATAAAAAAGGAGATATATTCTGGTAGGTTTTAAAAAGGAGGCTTTATGCCCCCATTTTTTCCATATCACATCAAATGAACTGTAAACAAACAATATATGTAAATGTATAAATGTATTAAAAATGTTTATTCATGAACAGAAACACAATCTCTGAAACTGTCCAATAGATCTACAATAAACAGAAGGCATAAAACCATTATGAATTCTTGCATACAAAATATTACACACCAAGGTGAAGCATGACGCTCATCTTGCTGATTAATTCACCTTTTTAAATGCATCTGAGAGCCTAGATTTTTACCTTATTGGTGTCAGCCTTTTCCTAATTTCTTTATCTGTGGGCATCCTGGCCCACGTTACATTTTCTATCATAATTTCACATGAGATGGACACAGGAATACATAAAGCATAATCCCCAAATACTTAAAGGATACACTTGGCATGGCGACCAAAAAGGATTTCATGGATACTGGCCAACTAATCACTACACATTATGATGAGACTAATGTCATATGCCGTTGGCCTGGAAACCAGGCAGCGGCCTCAATTAGTGAAGGAACCCTTTACACATCTAAAATTTAACAGAAACTTATACTAGTGCTAAATACTGCTTTTTAAAATCACTTTCTTCCAAACTGAACTAAACCTCATACATGGCCCTCAGACTTAAACTGGAACTATACCCTCGACTCTGCTGAATCTCTGGACTGCCGACTGCAGATCAACTTTCTACACTCATGTGAGCCAATTCCATATAGTAAATCTCTCTCTCTCTGAATATATGTATTTCCTCTCTCTCTTTACATGATGGCTTTTCCTTTTAATTTATTATGAGAAAGCTTTTGAGAACCTAGCATTATAAGGATATTTACCTAGTTACTTTAAATGACTTAGTTTTAGACTTAACAATTAAGTTTTTCTACAAGTTATTTTAATAACTTTTAAAATATTTTACTAAATACTTTGCCACCCATCAACCAACTATTGGGTTGCTGGAAAAGTCACTATGTATTTTATTATGTTTTTCTTTGCAAAAATGCATCATAACTTTCCAACTATCCAATATTTCATCTTATTTGATACTTATTATGTATTAGGTCTCTTTCTTGGTTTTCTGTTCACTTAATTTAAATTTTTCCATCTCTTTGCTAATGCAACTCTACTACAATTATTTTAGCTTTATAATTGGCTTCAGAATCTGGCAGTGTAAGGACCCACTCCTTCTTTTTAAAAAGCTCCAGGCATTTTTTTTTCTTCCTATCTTTTCAGATAAACTTGAAAATTATTATTTAGTTTTCCAAATCAATACATACACATACACATACACACACACACACACACACACAAAACTTCATATTTGGCATTGGATTAGATTTGTAAATAAGTTAGAGCACTATATAAATTTTATTGATTTGAGGGAAATAAAAGGTATTATTTTCTATGATTTCTCCCCCCAAACTACTGACCACAAGCACACCATATTTAGGTTGACCTCACCTGATTAAAAACTTGCAATTCAACCAAAATTGAATTGCCATTGCCTAGCACCATGGTAGGAGCTGATAACTTTAGATCTCTGTCCTGAAACATCGTATGATCTAGTATAAAACCTGTGTTTCAAGGGAGACAACAACAATTTTAATGGGCCTGTAGCCTGCAATACTAACTCCTTTCACCAGCTTTTATCTTTCTTTTTTTTCTATATCCCTTCTCTCTTTTTCATACATTTAGTTTGTCAACATTCTGTATCAAAGATGTTCACTCAGCTGATGTGTCATTTATCATTTCAGGATATAATCATTTATTTTGATCTTCGAAAACCATAAGAAATATACTCTAATTTTTGAACTAAAATCTTCAAGGCAACACAATTCACATTTTACTATTTTTATTGGTCTTTTATGTGCACACTTTTTCTATAGTTATATAAGAAATCATGAAATATTATGTTTTTTCACTTGTTCCCAATGCACACATAGTTGTTAATTTTTGTGTTATTCATGATATAGTACATGCATGTGTATGTATACGTGTGTGAGTAGGATGGGGTGATTTCCCAACTTCTCCCCCACCCAGACCTGTATCTCTCTCTGTCTCTCTCTTGAAATCATTCATGACCTATAACAAAACAAAACAAAACAAAACAACATATCAGGTTGAAGTAAGTTTTATTGAGCATTATTTGAATTATAAAATACTCAATAAATATTGACCAGAAGAGCAATACAAGAAGTTTCAAGGATGTAGCCTGAAGATGTGGGCAGGCATAGAGAAAGACAGAGTTAGAAGCACTCTCTAAAGAGTTCGGTCACACCAAGATCCACTTCCTCCAGTCTCCTAGCTCGTTGGATCTTGGTTGCATTCATGCTCCTGGCACGTTTCAGGCTAGCTGGTCCAGGGGTCTCAACCACTGTTGGTTGCCTTGTGGCTTCCAGTAGTGCATGCTGTCAGGCACCCTACCAACAGCACCCCCACAGCTGGGCCAATTGCTTATTTACAACTAGATGTTTGATTTGGTTTATATGGTCTACCCAGAGATCATCTTTTGCTTTTATTGGTCAAACCTACTATTGTGTGCTTTTATTTTACTAAATGTTGCTTATTAATTCTCAATAATTTATTAATACATTTTATTTTATTAATTCTGTCTAATTAATTCCTTCTTTCTGTTTGATTGTTTTGTTCAGCTTACTGAGTTGAGATAGATCTTGGTTCATTTATTTTCAATTCTTTTTTATTATATAGTAAACACAATTACCAAATGAAAGGCAGGAGAAACCAATTCTGTTTCCCTTCACCAAAAGGAAATTAATTGAGAGTACATCCATGGATATTAGGAATCAAGTGAGCTAAGACTCCAAAGAGCTGAAAATAAATATTTTATCTGAGAGTGGAGCACTTCAATGTATTTGAGAGGTAGAATCATGCCGCAGATAAGGATGGGGCTGGAGAACCAAAGTACAAGTGCCTTCTTTGCCATTTACTACTTCTGTGACCTCAATCAGGGATCCAGACCTCCTGGGCCTTGGTTTACCTCATCCATACAGTGGAGAGAATATACCAACCTCCCTCAGAGTCATTGGAAGGAATGGGTAAGTTTAAACTGTAAATCTTGTAGAACACTTCCTAGGACACAATAGCACTCAAAACATTCTTAGCATTGTTATGTCCTTCTGAGAAACTTCATTTACATCTATCTTCCTTTGTATTTGCTGAGAAGGCAAACTTTATTCTGCTTTGTTATTAGGCTCAATTTCCAAGCTAGTAGCTCTCTGCAGACGTGCTACGCTTTCTGAAAATTAAATTAAATTAATTAAATAAACAAACAAAACAAAACAAATTTCCAGGGTGTATCCCAAAGATGTGAGCTAGGGAAATGATGGGGTCACAATTGGAAGCCGATTATTAAAAATATCTTCAGTGTCCCTGGATATTGTCTCACACTAGCTGTGACATTTAACATGGGCAACCAAGGACCTAATAATTAGAACGGGGGTGGCAGGGGGTCCTGAAGGCCACATGTTTTCCAAGTGTTAACCCCTTAAATGCTGTATCATGGTGAGGCTCAGGGGTCCTGGGTCCCTGAGGCTAAGAGTAGTGGCTATTTATCAGCTTGGCTAATGCATTTAATTATGAAAACACTAATGGTGTGCCCGTGTAAGGCCAGATATCAACGCTCTTATTATTCAATCAACTATTTTGTTTGTTGTCTCTGACCGTGAAGTATCTCTGGAAATACTTTTACTTCTATAAGAGTTTTTCCTATATCTGTTTTGTGGTTGTTGTTTGTTTATAAGTGAGGTATAATTGATTTAAACACAATGCATATATTTTAGATGAACAGTTCTGTGTACTTTGATCAACCTGTACACACAGATAACTTTCATTTTTCTTTCTTGAGTTTTGTTCTGTTGTTCTTGATCCAAACTTGTACTACTGTTGGATGTAAGTCCAACTTTTGGCCATTTCTTTCTAAAACCTGAAATCTTGGTAAGAGTTCCTATTGAGCAATAAGTTCAAATTTTCCAGTTGCTTCTCAGTGAACATAGTTCATTTCTTTGTGAATGCTCCTGATGATTACCTTTAGGAATTTCCTCTGAGCCTGACAGCTTCTGATCTAGATGTGCTTATGTGTTCAGGCCCAGTGCCAGCCTATCCCTGTTTTGTTTTATCACTCTCATCTCATCTGCCTTCAACTTCTAGACAATTTATTAAAACTTGTGATTAAACTGAATGATTATATCATTGCTTGTTTTCCATCACAATTTAGAATAGTCACATAGATGGATAGATAAACTACTTTATAGAGTTATAGGTACTTCTCAGTCAATGAAATGGGAGTGGAAAGGAAGACGTGTATATTTAGTTCATCAATTTAATTTTTTGTAACTTACAAAATTTAAGCCCCTGATTATGACTTTCTGAAAGGACAGACCCTTTATGTATTTCAGTTAATTGAATTCCAGTCCAAATGGAGCCATGAACAAAAAAAAGACAGTCTTTATACCTCCCCTTGCAAGAATTTAATTATATGATTAAACCAGTCTTAAACTGGTTTAATGTGATAACTACTTGAATTAAGTTGTGTTATACTTAAACAATTTAAAAAGTTTAACTCGTGGTGAAATATTGAGTAAAATGGGAAGCTCCTTTAAACAATAAAATTAGAACATCCTACTAAGAATGCTATAATCTTTTTTTTTTTTTTCTGGAGAAATTTTTTTCTATAGGACGTGCGTGCTTGCCACACAGAGAGAGAGAGACAGAGAGACAGAAAGCAAGAAATCACCCGCCAAGGGATGGCCACACTGCAATCCCTTCTCCTCCATTCTCCTCTCAGGATCTTGGGCACGCACGCACACGCACCCGGCATGAGTTTAAGCCACCGGGTCCGGGACGCGAACCGCAGTCAACTATGTGGGAGTCCAGCGACATAGCCATTACGCTAACTGCTGGTCCCAAGAATGCTAGAATCTTTAAATTAATAGCCATACTTCAAAAGGTATAGGATTTTGGTGGGATTTACGTATATGCATGTAAAGAAAAAGAAATATTGTCAATCCAAATGAACTTTGTTAGCATCCTCTGTTTCTTATGCCATGACTTACATTCATATTACAGAATTTAAAAAGAAAAAGGGTTATCAGGGGAATAACAGGTGACATACAAGGAAAGGTACCTGATCAGAATCCACCCAGTGGAGGACTGGATACAGCACACATAGAACTGACAAATGTTATAGATATGAAGATATAAGGGAAGGGGGGAGGAGAGGAGGGGAGGGGAGGAAAGAGTAGATGTTAGATAGGGCTGAGTTCACAGTAGTGGTCTAATGATCTTAGCAATCAGACTAAATTCTGGTCAAAACAGAGTCAGTCAATGTCATTTTTCTTTCACGGACTATCTTCATACCAAGGTTTCTGTTAACCAGTTCATAGATAAGAGAAAGCATGGGCTTCATTTTGGCCTCTTCAACATTACATAGGGCACATCTACATAGGGCACAGATGAAGCAGTTCATGCTCACCAGTAGGTAGTTATCTCAGCCCTACAAAGTGCCTCAGACTTTGGCCCCAGAAAGGGTCTTAATGGGACTAGCAGTTAGTGTAATGGCTATGTCACTGGACTCCCATGTAGTCAACCGTGGTTTGAATCACGAACCTGGTAGCTTAAACTCACACCAGGCACGTGTGCGTGCATGCCCAAGATCCCGAGAGGAGAATGGAGGAGAAGGGATTGCAGCATGGCCATCCCCCTGAGGGGTGCTTTTTGGCTTTCTGTCTTCTGTCTCTCTCTGTCTTTCTGGTGAGCTCATGCAAAAACCTATAGCAAAAACCTCTCCAAAAAGAGATTTTTTTTAAAAAAAAAAGAGTCTTAGTAAAATTGTCTGTCTCAGAAGAATGCTGCCCACAGAAGGGAACTTTAATATGAGTCATGTATCTTAATACTCAGAAGAAGGCATAAAATCCTCAGGATCCTTATATTTTAGTTGGTAGAAATCAAACGAAAAAAAACAGAACATGTCAACTACAAATTAAGACTAGAAAATATGTGGTATTGCTTCCTTCCACACCACTTGCCACACTGCTAAGCAATCATGCACTTTTACCACTAAATACAGACTCAGTCGCAGAATTCTCTGAGCAGGGTTTCAGGATACATGTTATTGGCACTCTAGGTAAAATCCTGTTTGACATGATGACATAAATGCAAATTGTTTTATGATTAAACAAATAACACTCATATTTGACCTATATTTCGTAGTTTATAAAGGCCTCTCACGTATTTTACATCATAGTTCACAATAACAGGGCCAAATGAGAAAGTTCTGAATTAAGTGGAAGTTCTCGTAATGGACAAGTATGTGAACTTGAGCTTTAGTTTTATATAACTAGTGCTCTTCCTATTTTTACTATATCACACCTGAATACACACACACACACACACACACACACACACACACACGAACCTGTACATACACATGAAAATGTATATTAAGAAAAAACTGTATATGGATTTCAAAACTTTCTTATATCAAAATAAATTTGTATTTTAATTCAATTTTCCATGAATTTTTTGAAGTCCCTGCACACATGACAAATAGGTATCACTAACATCATTTTGTAGATGAAGAATCCAAGACAGAGTTTAGGTAACTTGTCAATTAATTAATTTAGTTCAAACAGAACAGAGCTCGAATTAAATTCAAAATTTGACTTCAAATCGACTTCATACTTTCCTGATAATGCAACTATGTCTCTAAATATAGAGACTAATTAATTAATTCAAAGTAAGGAATTTACACACAACAATCAAATTTTCTTGGTGCCCAAAACATGTAGGTTTGAAGCCGTTCTTCTCAGCATTGCATATAATATTCATACCCCTTAACATCCTATAATGAGAAATATTTTCCCTCAGTTCCTTTACGGAGATACACGTCTCATTCATGATCTCATCTGCATTCCTCAACACACTGAAGCATCCTCACTTATTTGCTTTTCTTTCCCCAAACTGAGAAGAATCTAATACATAAAAATAAACCCACTGTATCACCAACTTTCACACACAGAGATCACAAAACCTACTTTTCCCATTTTTATTTGTGATGCTCTAACCTTCTCTAATATCAGTGTCAATGTCATAATTGTTTAGGCTTAAAATCTTATTCTTTCTTTTTTAGCACAAACACATTTATTTACTAACCAAAGGAGTGATCCTAATTACATCAACACTTGGAAATAGTTGCATGTAAAATGTTTGTGATAAAGGTAATTGAACATAGTAATGAAAAAAAAAGTAGTAAGGAGATTTGCTCATTGAACTGAGATGTTCATTCTCAAAGCTAAATCCTGTCTGAAGTGATGATGGAATTTTTATTCTACTTTTTCATAGACTCAAGTACAGATAACATTATTCATGACACAGTCCACCACTAATTTTCCATTTTGCAATTTTCTTGTTATTGTGCTTTCTTTCCCATTCCATTCTTGATGCTGAACCAATGCAGTCCTTAAAGTCACAGACAGTGTGCTTTTCTGCCATCAGCTGTAGTTTCTTCAGACTTTTCTCCCAGGGTACAAGAAAACTGTGAGCTTTGACATTTTTCATTGCTTGCTCAGATATGGTCATCTCTACCCCACCATGTATCTCTCCTCTCATTCTTATGAAAACCACCATCACATGAGTGGTTCCTTATCTCTGACACAAATTGCCATTATATTAGGACTCTATGCGTCTAGAAATCCTGGTTCTAGTCTATATTTTGACACGAATTGCTGAATAATTTTTTTTCAATACACAGTTCTGTCTATGTCTCTCTGTTGCCAGTAAACCTACTTTAGCTACCATAGTCCAGGATCCTTTGGCTTGGCACTCAAGGCTTTTTATGATTTAGACCAAATCAAATTATCAAGTATATTCATAACTATTTTCCTTCATGTCTTATTTACTAATTATGCAATCTTGATGAAGCATTTCCAGTAACATGATTCTCAATTTCATCATCCATTGATTTTATATATAATTACACACACACACACACATATATGTATATACATAATTGCACATAATGTACACAGAATACATTAAATGCTGCTAGTAATAAAATAAAATGAGGGTCAGAAGTAGCATGGAGGTTAAGGCATCTAGATCCCATATTGCCAACAGTGTGGTTCAAGTCCCAGACCCAGTGGCTTAAAAAACATGCCAGGCCCAGTGCACATGTGTATGTATCAAATGTCCCGAGAGAAGAATGGAGGAAAAGTGATTGTAGCATGGTCATTCCCCTTGGGAGGTGATATCACACTTTTCTTTTCTTCTTTTCTTTTCTTTTTTCTTCTTTTCTTTTCTTTCTTTCTTTCTCTCTCTCTCTCTCTCTCTCTCTCTCTCTCTCTCTCTCTCTCCAGTGAGTGCACATTCTCTATGGCACACTAAGAAAAAAAATTTTAAATTATGTAATTACTGGAAAAATGAAGTGAAATAATTTATATAAAACTCCTTGTGAACTATACAACAATCTACAGATGAGAAGAATTCTGTTGACTAGGTTTAGAAGAGTTTTTACATATACTGCACCTTCAAGTTCTAATAGCAACTCTAGTGCTTCTGCTTCCGTGGATCTGTTCCTGAACACCAGTTGCTAACAATTCCTTCACCTCCAATCTGCCCTTACCTAATATTCACTGACAACACCTATGACAGTTACTGCTATTGTCTCTGTGCATGTTCTATTCCTCCTGCCAGACTGGAAGAAACCTGAAGACATAGGCCCCACAACTGTATCTTTCAAAGTGCACACCAGAAAACTTTTCCACCATACGTGATTCATAAATCTTTTAAAATACCTGATGTATTTTATACAGTTTATTCAGATGGACATTTAGTTATGAACATATTCCATAGCAGCTTGGAATTTGTCTATCAAATACTCAAAACCTAGAAGTTCAAAGTACACAATAGGCTGAATGATTTGCCTAAACTAAAATAGGTAGGGAAGAACATTTGAAGGGAAAGAAAGGATCCATAGCACTTGCAATGAACCATTATGGTGGTTTTAAAACAGGTCCACAAGTTTCTGACATATCTCCAATCAAAAAGAGCCTTTTTCATCTCCATGAAAATAGTGTGTTTTTAATTTTTTAAGAGAGACTTTGGCTATAGAATGTATGCACTCACCAGAGAGATAGAGAAAGACAGAGAGATGAAAAGAGAGATATCACCCCCTGGGGATATGACCGTGCTGCAATCCCTTCTCTTCCATTCTCCTCTCAGGATTTTGGGCACACATGCACACATGTCCAATGTGAGTTTCAAGTCACCAGGTCCAGGATTAGAACTAACCAGGTGGGAGTCCAGCTGTATAACCATTATGCCATCTACCAGTTCCTCCGTGACTCTAATAGAAGAAGCAAAAGTGATGTTGTGTAGATTAAAAGGAATTTATACAAGACAACACAGCCCCTGCTTCTCTCTTGTACTTTTGAGATTTTCTCACTGAAATTAAACCATTACATTGTGAGGAAGCTCAGGCCACATACACAGGGTTTCAAAAAGTTCATGGATGGAGCCAGCCAGTGGAGCAGCAGCAGTGCAGTGCTCTGTGAACTGACCCACATGAGAAGGTCTAGTTCCGTACCCCAGACCTCCATGTGCATGCCCAGCACACATGTACCCATGTTCCAGGCTTGCTGAGGCTGGGGTTTATAGTGATATGGAGGCTATGTGCATGCATACAAATGAGAAAAGAAATAAATGCAAAAGTTTTTTAAGTTCATGGAAAGTGAGTACTATAAAACAAATATGATGTGGATTTAAAACATTTTTGCAACAAAATAAACCATTTTTAATTTCATTTTCACAGGAACTTTTGGAATTCCCCTCATAGGTGTTCTGACTACACTCATAATGGAAATCCACCTCGACCCATGAGTGAGTGAGCACAATGACTCTAACCAATCCCTTTGGTGTCTAGTGAAACAGGGAAAAGCTGTCCCCACTGAGTTCATCTCAAATTGTGAATTCATGAGCAAAATAAATGTTACTGTTTCTTGACACCATTAAGTTTTGGTAAGGTTTCTTACATAAAAGTAAATAGCAAAAACAAATGTATGTGTGTGTGAGTGTGTGTGTGTGTGTGTGTGTAATTTATTTTCCCCCTCAAAAACAACCTATCAGGGCCAGGCTGTGATATGGTAGTTAAGTCAGCTGGATTTCACATGGACGATTTGATACTCAGACTCAGTGTCTTGAAAGAATACCTGTGTGTGTGTGTGGGTGTGAGTCTGTGTGTGTGTGTGTGCGTGGGTATACCCAGAATCCCAAAGGGAGGAAGAAATGAAAGAGAGTGGATTGTGGCAAGTGACTATTCAACATGGGTGGTGCTTTTTCACTTTCCCCCTTCCTCTCTCTTTCTTTCCAGTGAGCACACATACTCTCTGGCAAATTTAAAACAAAAATGAAGAACAACCTAACAAGAAAGAGCTTAGTGTCAACTATTTATATAAAAAGAAGAAAACCAAGACTTAAAGAGAGTAATGAAAAAATGACCAAGCTTTGGAGTAGATAGTAAATAACAGCTAAAATTTAAGTCCTAGTCAGTGAAGGCCAAAGGATACATATTTTCTTCAACTACTACTTTCTCTGAGTTCTTTCAAAAAGAACTATAAATTTTGTGCCATATTTAAAATTTTCAAAGGAAGGGGAAAAAAAAAGCCCAACCATTTAATTAAAATATGCATTTAATGATAAAAGTCAGTTTTCTTTCTGTTGTTGTTGTGTGTTTTGTTTTGTTTTTGTTTTTTACAGAAAGATTTCTGCTATAGGGCACATGCACTTGCAGGAGAGACAGAAGCAGAAAGATAGAAAATGAGAAATCAATCCCCAGGAGCATGGCCATGCTGTAATCCCTTCTCCTCTATTCTCCTCTCAGGATTTTGGGCTCCCATGCATACATGCCTGGAATGTTTTTCAGACCACTGGGTCTGGAACTTGAACCTCAGAGCTGTTCATGTGGGATCTGGCACCTTAACCACTATGCCACCTACTGGTCCAAGGAGCCTCATTTCTTATATATCCATACAACAATATGTCTTTAGAAAATTTAGTAAAAGATCTCAACACACTTTCCCTAGAAATCCGAGCCCTTAATTTGATAAAATACACTAACACTTCAGTCACTGTTTCTGCTCTTTCAAAGTGGAAATTACATCCACATGCACACACACACATCCACACAAAGAATATATATGTGTATTTATATATACAGATGTATTAAAATTCTCATGTCATTCTTCCATATTTGGAGGTCAGCCCTGTAATTATACTGCACAAACCAGAAGTCCTGGTTTTGGTGGGAAAAGGCTACCTCACACCCATTAGCATTATGAATGAAAATGTGATAGTTAAATAAAGGTCATTTCCTCTCTGCAAAGCAGAATCTGATGCATAAATAAAATGGACAGGGAATTTTTAACATTTACTTAGGATCTGATTATTCTGATATACTTTTAAAACTGCCTCTTTTGGGACCTGATGGTGGTACAATGGTAAAATGAAACACTCTTCTAAGCTGACCCACCTAAGGAGGTTCTGGAGTTGCATCAGGAGACCTCCCTGAGTAAGCCCTGTATAAATGTGTCTGTTATCTGAGTCTGGCTGAGGCCAGTGATGAATCATGCCCTCAAGATCCTGTTGGAGTGCTCTCCCTCTCTCTGTCTTTCTCTCAGAATGAATGAATGAATGAGACACAAAGGTTATAGTTCTTTTGAAAAGAACTGGGGAGAAAGCAAAGATGGAGAAGAAAATATGTAACCTTTAGCCTTAAGTTGACTAGGACTTGAGTTTGGCCCAATTATTTACTATATACTATAAGACTTTGGGCACACTTTTTTTTAACTTTCAATGAGCCTCAGTTTAAAAATAAAGTTGCCTTTTTCTGAAATATAGTGTCACTTAAAAATCTTCAGTCTTTTCAGCTATAGACCATACAAAAGGAGAGCGTGGCTATCCTCATGCAGAACCTCCAAATTACCTTCCATTGGCCCTCAAACTTTAATGCCATGCCCCCAAACGATAGGTGACAAAATAAGATAGAACAAGTTAGCACAAAACAAACCAGTGCTTTATTTAAAAGAAGTAATAATAGCTAGCATGTACTACATATAATATGTGAAAAGTGCAGTGAATATACTTCCACAGCGTCTGGGACACGTCACTTATCTAATCCAAAAAATGAACCTATTTTATAAGTACCTATTATTGTGTCTGAGAGCTCCAAATAGCTGCTCCTCTCTCTTCCCTTCTGATAATAATAGAACACCCAAAATTTAGCAGAACACATGGTCACCCAGAAAGAAGCTAGATTTGCCAGCCGTCCTAGTTTGAGCATGTGACTAAGTTCTAGCCAGTAGGAGGGAGAGAGAGAGAGAGAGAGAGAGAGAGAGAAAGAGAGAGAGAGAGGAGAATGATGAAGCAATTGTGGCAAAATGTTAACATTTGAAAAACCGGGGAGATCATAGAAATTCTTTGTATTATTCCTATAACATTTCGAAGTCTGAGTCATGTCAAATTAGGAATTTTTAGAATAAATAAATAAGTAAATAAGACTCTAATTATAAGTCGATCATTTCTATAAGTTATGTACAAACTCACTTTCTTGTGGTTATTAAAAATGGCAGCCCTAACATAAACCATGTATACACCTTCATGGAGCTTACAGACGATTCAAAATAACATGAAATCTTTTTTGATTAAAAGTATCCCTATTAGATTAAGAACTAGGACTCTAGAACTAGAGTGCTTAGGTTTGATTCCAGCTTTATCTATTGCAATTTGTATAAATCAAGAAAGATATTTTACTGAGCCTCAGTTGCCTTGACTACAAAGTGGACATAAAAGGGTCTACCACATGGAGTTGTAAATGTAAAATTAGGTAATATCATGCCCAATATAAGGCTAAGTGTTGAAAAATATTCATTTTTATCTTTACATTATAAAGTATATGAAAGTTTAGCAAGGGAAGATTGTCTATCTGTGGAGGCACACTTTCTTTTCACAAATTTATTAAATTAAAATAGGAGGAAGATAGCCCATCAGAATTTATAGTGAATAGCAAAGTCTGTTGCAAGTGTAACAGAATTGCAAATATAGCAGCAGATGTTGGAAACAGAATATCTCAACTAAAAGTACTTGAGACATTTTGAGTTGTAGTCCCTGAAATTATCTTGCAAAGTAAATATGCATTATCAACCAAGATAGTCTCTTCTCACAGATAAATGGATTCTTTTGAGATATTATGCTTTACTTTTTAGCTTTATCATTTATTTTTCTATCAAACCATTTCAAGCTGATACACATACTTTTGTGTAAAGAGTTTTCAACTATAGCACATGTAGTAAAGCTAAGTTTAGATGACAGAGATAACCCATATGATGTCTGCCTGTTCAATGATTATTATGTAAAGAGTATAATTTTGATTCAGTTATTTGCAGATCATATGTTTCAGATAGGTTTTTATTGTGTTAGTCATTAGCCCACCCTTGGAAATAGCTCCTCTCTTATTTCCTCAATAAAAGCCCAAGATGATGGGTCATTATTGGACTCAGCTAATTATGACAACTAGTCAGCACTTGCCTCCTTCTCTTGTAATTAGCCTTGGCCATATGACCTAGCTCTGGAAATAAAATGTATGGATCTGTACCTGGGAAACTTTTTTCTTTTCTGATTAAAAAAATAATAATAAATTTTAAAAAAAAAAACGGAAAGAGCTAGTACCTTGCCCTTATAGTTTCTTTCTAGCTTGAATACATATGTACATGGTAGTCAAAGCTACAGAATACTTCTTGCAACCAAAAAGCTGTAAGTGTAGAAAAAGTCAAGCGAGTCTGACCAATTACACCATCTAAGTACTAAATTAAAGACAATAACTATCTAAATCAAATTTCTCAAGCATTTTCCCAAGTTTATCTGCTAATTTCACAGTTGGGTTCTCACAGCCACGGAATAGACTAAGAATCGGAGACAGTAAAAAATCAAATGACCTGACCCCTTACTTCAAAACATGTCTAGATTTCAAGAACAGATTAGCAGAAGGAACAGTAGGAAGAAAAGGTGAAAGTTAGGATTCAAATTGATGGCTCACTATATGTTAAGTTCCAGCTTCCCAAATGACAGACAACTTGATCCTCTAAGCTCTGACTTTGACTGGCATAAATATCTGAAGGGTGCAAGCTAATAGGTTCCATATGACAACAGACAAAAGTAATACAGACTCTGGTGGGCTGGACCATTTTGCTAACAGAGGAAAGAAGTTCATTTGCATTGAAATAGTAACCCCAAATTAGCTGGAACTATGACAACCTGATCCCTCTTTTATCTGGGACAAAAAAAAAGAGAGAGAAAGAAAAAAAGCCTAGGAGAAGAGACAGCGTCCCAAAGAAGGGCTTTTGAAGAATTCCTGCAGAAGCCTTCCCATAGGAACTAGGAACTAAGTAAATTACAGGGCTAGTGGGGGAAAGATTTAGCTTATTAAGCACAATGGTGATCAAGGGTGTGATGATAACAGCTTTAGGGAAGCACAATTAAATATGGACTCGCCCACTGGCACCTCATAGATGGCAATACTTAGCGAAAGTCAGCTGAAGGGATGCATCCAGTTGATTCCGCAGGAAGAATAGCTTCATAATCATCCCTAAATGGGGCTAAAAGAAGAAGGAGTTGCTGTTCTGATTGTAGATACTTAACCAGGAATTTCCTTCAGTTAACGATGATGGCTTGAGCATACTCAGGATTTGTGGGTAATAAGCTATTATTATGGTGAACAATGTAGAGTTTTGTTTGTAGAGTTTTGTTTTTGTTCTTTAATTTGTCAGTGCTCACCAGAGAGAGAGAGAGAGAAAGAGACAGGGAGAAAGGAAGAGATAGCA